GGAAATGCGTTGCAGGCGGATCTGCTTTTCCCGTAATTTTGGGGGGTGGGGGGGGAGGTCGACGGGCTGGATGTGATTGGAAGATGCGATGACCAATCGTGAGGGGCGGCTGCAGGCTTTTTCCTCTCCAAAAAGTGCAGCGGGGGTAGGAGGCATACGAGAAACTCTCATAAGAGGGGGTAGTCCAGATGTTCATCCCATGCGCCAGCTGCCCTTCACTACTATATCGTGTGCACGGGGAGAGTGGGAGAAGAGTGCTGGGAGAGAGGGGCACTCAAGGAAGCTCCAAGGAACGAAAATAATGAGGCATCTGGGACCTTGAGCGAGTTTTTATTCCAGCGGAAGTTTCTAGAGTGTGCTCTCGTCTCGTCCCTACAGATTTACCCGGGAATGAAAACTTGTTGGTCTTCAAGGTGGCACAAAGACTCCCGTTTAGGGGGTTTTTTTTGCCACAACAGACAGCTACTCTTCTGGAATGGCAAGAAGCCACGGCTTCTCCCCTCTGCTGAGAGCTTAGCTCCACCTACTTCACAGGGTGTCTGTTGTGGAGCGGTCCAGTTGCTCAGCCGTGTTGGTCTGAAGCAGTAGAACAAATTTAGAGTCCAGTGGTACCTTTAAGACCAACAAAGGTTTATTCAAGGTGTGAGCTTTCACGTGCAAGGCATACTTTTTTCAAATACTGTTTGAATACTATTTGAAATATTTCAAACTAGCAGTAAAGCCCGTTGTGGAAATAAATACAATGAGATCTAGAAAGAGGCTCTGGGGGAGTGCTTTGGCTTTGGGCAAACAGTGTCATTTTGCTGTGGTGACCTCAGCAGGGTATAATGACAGAGTCCACTGTTTTCTCCAGAGGAACTGATCTCTGCTCCCTCCCCCGCGGTTCCCCCCCCCCCCCCCCCCGGCCGAGGAATAAGCGACCCCCAGGCTGGAAGGCCCGAACGGCGGCGGAGTCGCCGGGCCCGCTCAAGCACGTGGCGCGGCGCCATACCTGGCGGGGAGCGCGTGAAGTTGCGTCCGTCGGGGCCGACGGCTTGGATGAAGAAATACCTCACGGGCAGGGCGAGCTCGGCTTGCAAGCCGGGCCCCCAGACCAGGCTCTTTTCTGCACTGACCGTGGCGGGGAGGGGCTCCGCGGCTGCCTGCCAGAGAGCAAGCAGCACCAGGGCGGCGGCGGCTCTCAGTAAGAGCCTCCAAGGCCTTCTGGACTCCGGCGGGAACAGCAAGCCGCGCTCTGGCCTCCTCTGGCCGGGGAGCAAGGGCGGCATAGCAAAGAAATCGGATCCCTCCCGGCTGAGGAAATGCCTTGCAGGCGGATCTGCTTTTCCCGTAATTTTTTCTGGGGGCTGGGGGGGAAGGTCGAGGGGCTGGATGTGATTGGAAGATGCGATGACCAATCGTGAGGGGCGGCTGCAGGCTCTTTCCTCTCCAAAAAGTGCAGCGGGGGTAGGAGGCATAAGAGAAACTCTCATAAGAGGGGGTGGTCCAGATGTTCATCCCAGGCGCCAGGCCAGCTGCCCTTCACTACTACGTATATCGTGTGCACGGGGAGAGTGGAAGAAGAGTGCTGGGAGAGTGGGGCACTCAAGGAAGCTCCAAGGAACGAAAATAATGAGGCATCTGGGACCTTGAGCGAGTTTTTATTCCAGCGGAAGTTTCTAGAGTGTGCTCTCGTCTCGTCCCCACAGATTTACCCGGGAATGAAAACTTGTTGGTCTTCAAGGTGGCACAACAGACAGCTACTCTTCTGGAATGGCAAGAAGCCACGGCTTCTCCCCTCTCCTAAGAGCTCTCTCAGCCCCACCTACCTCACAGGGTGTCTGTTGTGGGGCGGTCCAGTTGGTCAGCCGTGTTGGTCTGAAGCAGTAGAACAAATTTAGAGTCCAGTGGTACCTTTACGACCAACAAAGGTTTATTCAAGGTGTGAGCTTTCATGTGCAAGGCATACTTTTTCAAATACTGTTTGAATACTATTTGAAATATTTCAAATACTATTTGAAAAAGTGTGCCTTGCACGCGAAAGCTCATACCTTGAATAAACCTTTGTTGGTCTTAAAGGTGCCACTGGACTCTAAATTTGTTGTGGGGAGAGGAAGGGAAGGGAGCTTGTAAGCCGCTCTGAGACTCCTCCGAGTAGTGATATAAATCCAATCTCTTCGTTTTCTCATTAGGTGAGGGAGTCAAAACAGGATGAGGCTTGTTTAATGAGAGGCAGGCAATGGCTACTCTAGACTCCAAAAGATGTTTCAGTAGCACACTTCTGCAGATTTAAAGGCACAAATTATTCTGGCACTCTTCAGTGGACTGAATCCTCATTAGGGTTCAGGGTTTCCTTGTCAATGCTGATTGAATGCTTGTATTTAACTTTCAGTCTAATGACTGTATATGGGTGTGTGTTTTTTAGGATGCTCAAGGGGGTGTGGGATTTTTAATGGGTTTTTTTTGTATTTTTCATGTGTGTGTGTGCGCACCTGGAAGTCATGGCAACGTCTGGCGACTGACCCCTACTGGAAGCCTGGAGGATATTGAGAGAGGTGGCTGAATAAAGCCTGCCCCCGCCTCCCAGCTCTGGTATTTCAAGGAGGTCTCCCATCCAAGTATTTGCCAGAGTCGACCCTGCTTAACTGATGAAATCTGATGAGATTGGGCTTGCCTGGGCTAAAGTATTTTTATACCACCTTTCAGGGTTGTCATGACAGGTTTCTGTCCCTGGCTTATTTTGAATGGCCTTGGGGGGATAATTTATGCTTTTTAAGAGCAAGATTAGAGTCCAATGGCCATACTGGATGGATCAGACCAAAGGCCCATCAAGTCCACCAGTTTGTTCACAGAGTGGCCGACCAGCTGCCTCTAGAAAGGCCTGTGCCCACAAGCAGGATGACTGCAGTAGCATTCCCCCCTCCCACCTGCGCTGCCCAGCAACTGGTTTTTGTAAGAGGCATTCTGGTACTGGAGGGAACACCTTAAAGACCAACAAGGTTCCCCAGGTATAAACTTTCAAAAATCAAACCTCTCATTGTCAGGTACTCTAGGAGTGCCAGCTTTGGGGGGGTGGGGGACTTGGCTGGCCTGCTCCTGTGCCATTCAGCACAGAAAGCAGCAGGTGAAACTTTACACAGGTGAGGCTGATGATACTAGTTGGGAGGAAAAAGCGCTAAGTGGTATAGCACATGCACAGGTCCAATCCTGACCCTGGCATTTCCAGTTAAAGGATCCTTGCTTTCCTGCAAGTACCGCCCCCTCGCTTGGTTTTGCCAGTCTAAACTGGGCTCCCCCCAACTTTTCTTGAGTTTTTAAAGAACTGTCTTTAAAGGACCGTCTCCTTTAACATACTTATGAGACCCCTGCATATCAGTGCCTTGATATACATCTTCATGGGGCTGCAGTGGCTCAGAGGTTAAGACGCTGAGCTGCAGACTGGAAGGTCTGTAGTTCAGCAGTTCGAGACCCGAGTGTGCCGCATGACGGAGTGAGTTCCTGTCTCTGGACCCAGCTTCTGCCAACCTAGCAGTTCGAAAGCAAGAAATTGCAAGTAGATAAATAGGTACCACTTCAGTGGGAAGGTAACAGCGTTCTGTGCGCCTTGGTGTTTAGTCATGCCGGCCACATGACCACGGAAAAAGTCTTTGGACAGCGCTGGCTCTTCAGCTTGGAAACGGAGATGAGCACAGCAACCCTAGAGTCGGATTCGACTGGCTTTCGAGCAAGGGAAGCCTTTACCTTTACCTATACTTATCCATACATAAGCCCCTGGATGCTGCAATCTCAGTCCTAGGGAAGTGACTACCTGCCTTGCTTACGTGACAAAGGAAGAATACACTGCATCCTGACAAGATTTTATTTTATTTAGATGGAGGTGATGCTGGTTAATACCTGCTTTGGAGGTGGTTGCGCTTCCAGTGTTGGATTGGGTTTGGTGTGAAGAACCTGGGAGCTCTTGGAGACCCAGCTGTTATTAGACAAGGCAGGTCTTTTGATGTAAACAATGTGCTTTCCCCCTGTCTGGACACTGCTAACCTGGGCCATGCCGATCCATGCAACAGTAAAAAATGAGGCTACTGTACATTAGCGTGCTTTTTGTGGACCTGCCCTTAAAGATTACTCACAAAATCTGGTGCAGAATGCAGTAGCCCATTTCTTTTCTTTGCATTTTGTGTGTGTGTGTGTGTGTGTGTACACTGGGAAGCCATGGTAACCTTTGGTGACTGACCCCTACTAGGGGCCTGGAGGATATTCAGAGAGGTGGCTGAATAAGGCCTGCCCCCGCCTCCTGCCTCTGGTATTCCAAGGAGGTCTCCCACCCGAGTACTTGCCAGAGTCAATTCTGCTTAGCTTCCGAGATCTGACAAGATTGGGCTTGTCTGGGCTATCCAGGTCAGGGCACTGTAACCTAGGGCTATTTTTGGGCAGGAACACACAGGAACGGAGTTCCGGCTGGCTCCTGAGTTGGCCACGCCCAGCAGGAACTCATTAGCATAATAGGCCACACCTAACAGCAGAAACTCATTAGGATTGGCTAAATTAGGAATGTGTGGCCTAACATGCAAAGAAGTTCCTGCTACAAAAAAGCCGAGTTTTGTCAACAAACACATTTTACTCCCATTTTACCATAAATGTATTAGTTGCCTGTATGTTTCCGGATCCACTTCAAGGTGCTGGTACTTCTGTTTAAAGCACTTCATGACCTTCTTTTGGTGTGAACCTGGGCAGCAGCTGCGCTAGTCTACACATCAACACCTACTTGTCATTATGATCCCTGCAACCTGCCTTCTCCTGCTGACCTGGCCATTCTCAGTAGCCACCCCAACACTGTGGAACCATCTCATAGAACTAAGACAAACGTCACCCCTCTTGTATTTATATTAGAGTACTCCATCCAGATTTTTTTAAGAATGGCCTTGGGGGTCACTTGACAATATTGTAGAATGCAGATGATTTTGATTTGCTGGGGCAAGGGTCTGCAAGTGAGTATTTAAGCATTTATAAAGTTTTCCAACAATGGGGAGCTTTCACTCTCAAAAGTTTATACCTTGGGAATCTTGTTGGCCTTTAAGGTTTTAAATCATGCTTTTATGTAAGTAGCCCTGAGCCTGCTTCAGTGGGGAGGGCGGGGTATAAATCAAATAAACAAACAAAGTTTGGTGACTGTTTTAATTGTTTATTTTTCAATATTTGGGGACTTTGTCTAGAGCAGGGGTGTCAAACATGCGGCCCGGGGGCTGGATCAGGCCCCCGGACGGCTTCTATCAGGCCCTCAGTGGAACTGGCTGTCTTCTGCTTCTTCTTCCAGTTCTGCTGCTGCATCATCGTAGGTTTGCAGCTTGCAGATAAACACCTGGACAGCATACTCAAGATTGCAACAGCACGGACATTTTGAAGTAATAATTCAGAGCAAGAGGTGCCAGTTATCAGACACTGTTAAATAAACAAAATATTGCAAGAGTGCTGATGTATTAAGCATGATTTTATTTTAAGTTTAAAAAAACCCTTTGTGTTTGTGTCCTTTATAAAGTTTATATCTCTGCTACCTGGCATTACATTTTATGACCCACATGGCCCGGCCCAACAAGGTCTCATTTATGTCAAATCTGGCCCTCATAACAAATGAGTTCGACACCCCAGGGTCTAGAGAGTAGGAATTAAAAAAAAAATCAAACACAACAAAAGCGGTAAATCAGCATTGTAGCCTGAAGCCTCTCTTGCCAGTATGCTACTTTCTCTTTCCAGAGAGAATGTTTTAATGCAGTGAACATTCAGAAGTGATACCCCCCCTACACTCTTCCTGTAGCAGTACAGTCCATTCCTTCATCGCATTCTGTTCTCCTTCTGCTCCATGTAGACCTAATTTGACAGCCATTCTGTTGGGACAGAAACTTACCTGTATGATTTTGGACAGGGCCAGCATGTTGCTTAAACTGGGCAGTTGCTACATGTGAGAAACATCTAAGTGTGCAACACTGGCCTTCCAGCCCAACCCTCACTTGGGCTGCAACATGCTAACTTTGCAGATGTTGTGGTTGACAGCCCAGTTTAAATGAGATGCTGGGTGTGTGCAAAGTTGAACAGGACTGGTACTTTTGTCCTGCCAGTACTGCCTTTAAAGCGAAGGGCTGAGGGCTGGAGTGGTGATTGAGCCGGACAGGCCGGTGGGAAAGGGACCCTGCTGTCCCTCCCTGATAAGTCGCCAGCTGCCCTAGAGAGAGAGAATGTCCTGCAGCTTTAATAGAATCTTAATGGGATGTCATTTATCTCCATGCCATGAAAACCTTCAGCTTGCCCATTTCCACACATTAAGGCTCCATGAAA